AGTTAGGTTGACTTTGGAAATTTTTTTTGCTGTTCGCAGATGTCCTTACTTACTTTCAGAGCTAAAAGACTTTCTACCCCATTGACCAGATTGTTTATATGGTATATAAATGAATCTCGTAAGGTCATCTTTCATGTGTTCTGTCTGGAAGAGTGCCTTTGATGTGTAGCCAAGATGTTAGCAATATAAGTGGAAGGTATTTCAAAGATGAAAGATCAATCCAAGCCTTGCACCAAAACCAAGGAATCAAAAAAAACATCACCGATATTATGACCTTACCTACGCTTCACAAGATTTCATGAATTTGTCTGCTTCGGACGAAGTTCACAATATGTTCTCTCGCAGTCGACGGACACTGTTCCATAAACTGAACGTTTTATACTCTTCTCTTCTCTGACTTAATTACGTGCACTTTATTCTGTCTACCAACGTCGTACAAAGAAGTCGCCAACATAATCTCGCTATGTGCCTTGTGTAAGCTCAATCTACATTTTTGAGGAATTTACTAGGTTCGAGTCTCTATATATAGAAACGGAAGGACAACGCATAAAACGATCTTTAATTGGGGACATCTGACGTTTCGGATCAAGCTCGGTCCGTCTTCAGAGTACAATGATTGTATGATTATACTGAAGACAGTCCGAGCTTGCGGTTGGGCATGACATTGGCGGCCTATTGTTTCAAACGGACTAATTGTTTCGCCTCGACATGAGACTCATTGAGTACTGTGACTTTTTCTCTGAGGATCGAACTTGCTCAGTTCGATTCTGGCCACGGCTTAAGGTAGTCTCATCGCAGTTAATCTCCGTATCTGAGGGTTGTTTCTATACCCGCAAACCGGGGTTGCGTAGATCTCCAGCAACAAGGGAAACTGAAAAATGGCTACGGTTGAGAAATTATTGAACAGGTACTATTAAAGTTCAAACTTAGCGCTTAATGTAAACCGTAAACTAGTCCTACTGTGGAGATCTCAGTCACTCCCACTGTCTTTTTAGCAAGATCATGAATTGACGGGAGAAAGAAAGGTTCGATAGAAGGAAATGGGAGAACGTGATATATGACATCAAATATATATATATGTATATGAACTCCCAAGGCACCAAGTTATATATATATATGTTTGGATCAGTTTTAAACTGGATCGGACGAAAACGAAACAGAGAAAAAACAAATTACGGCCCCACTTTCCGGTTGGTACACAGGTAGACGGCAGTGCGAGATGTAGCAAGTGATGGTGCTTGCCACGTGGGGAATTTTAAATGGTGCAAAAGCGATTTCTGTTGGCCTTATTATTGCCAGACGCCTGCACAACTTCATGTACGGATTTGCCGGCAGCAGAAGAACTAGTCATGGTCGTTTTTCCTAAAATACAACGTCGCCTGTGACAAGGGACATTGACTAAATGGGTCACGAAGTGTTGTCCGAAATCGTAACGCGCTACCTGTACCTGTTCGGACATGGACATTAGTCGTGTTGCAAAAATAAGGATAGTTCGAAGCGTAGCGAAAGAAGAACCGTCACCAACTCCGGTCGTCGCCAAGTTGTGTACTGAACGTGTTGTAATTGGGCCACGACTACGGCTGGCGCCTGGCTGTCGTTGGTAGACGGAAGAACCGCCTTAGCCTAGCTGGTAAATCCGCCAACTGCGCCACAACAGATGACCTTTGACGTGTCGCAGAGTCGGTGCCGGTAGTCTTGGAACAGTTCGTGTCAACAGACAGACAGCCGTTGGTCGAGCAAGAGTGACAAAGTTGAGTAGGAGGGCGTTGAAAACCATTTCGTGCTTTGGCACCATGTTCGGACTGTGGACAACGGCGTTTCTGCTCGTAATGCAAAACGGTAAGCGTCCTCGAACAACAGTTTGTACCTCGACGTCATGTTAACTCGTTCAGTGCACTCGCAGATAGCTCTTTTCATGGACGACGCCCGGCAGAGCGACAACTGCAAAAGTTGGAGTGCCTGGGGCAACTGTATCTGGATCAAAGGACCGCACCGTTCGCGGACCGGCGGCGTCCATCCATGGAATCGCAATTACTTTGACCAGCTGTCCCCGGTGTGTCAGAGAAACTTTTTCTACTCGAAAATACACCAGGACTACGGCGAGGCGATAAACAATGCAGTCGAGTACTTCAGATCGATAACGGTCAACGAACAACCGTGTGGCATGTGCTCGTTCAAGCAGTCGTGTGGAATCAACTGCGAAAAGAAGTAGGAAAATTACAGACTTGTCGTTCAGCTGGTAATGAAAATCTCTGAGCCAAAACAGCTATTCATGATTATTTTAACTACCAGGGGTGACACTGAGACATTGGGAAATTTTTTTCGAAGCAATGCAACACAAACTCAAACTACCTATTCAAAAATATGATGATTAGCAAAAATCTAAATCGGAACACCATATGATCGACCGAGTATAAAGGATTCTATTCACTTGAGCCGATGGCGCAATTAGAATCCAGCCATGAACCCGGAAACAGCTGGCAGCTAAGGAGCTGGATGCTGGAAAGATGCCTTCCGCCCTATAGGTCATAAATATATATTGCCATTAAAATTCGATGGCTCATCGACCTGGCCGTAGTCTTCGTTCATACTCATGCCTGAAACAATCGTGGTATCAGGCAATGACAATCATGTTTTTTTTAACTCTGTCTAAAAATGACTATTTTATTACGTTGGATCAACGTCGCTAGCAATTTAATACGAGGCCACGAACAAGTCATTTGATGAATCGCGGCTAAGCGCTCATGTCGATTGTAAAGTTTAGGGTAGCAGCTTGGTTTAGAAACGCAAGCCACGAATTTCAATGACCCCTCATTTTCATAAAAATCAGCACATTATCAGAGTTAGGTTTGCTTCCATCCCACTGTAGAGTTTTAAGTGAGAAAATATTTTATTTTCATTTAATCACAATCAGTTCTAAGGGCCCATACTTTCCTTCGCTTTGGCAAATCCTACATTTTAGTAATATGGGCAAGCGGTACTTAGACATTTCATCTCAGTTTTATAGTTTTAGAAGAGTTTAATAAAATTAAGCATCGGTTCTGCGCCTCGCATTTGGTGGCATGGCTTGTGTTTTGAATCAGTGGTTTTGAACAAAAGGCCATTGTCGATCGTCAAAAACTATTCATTTGATTGCCGGTGTGTAAAAAACAAGTTCACAATTTTTTAGTACCAACGAAGTTTACTCAGCGCATACAGTAGTCCCCAGTTAAAAGTTAAAAGGGAAGTTTGATCGTGAAATTTGGCTTTGTTCGCATGAATTAACAGTGATCACTTGACTTTTACTTTAGTTCCATCTTTCTCTTACCAATTACTGATACGTTTTCTACTATGAAGTCATGAATCTGGGGGGAGGGGCATCAGTGTCGAAAGAATCTGTTCTGGAAGTTAATCTTTCTCTCCCATGTTAACTGTTCGGATTTTCAATATTTAAAGACCTCCTAAATATGAACAACTTGTTATTATTAAGTTGAAAAGAGTAGATTATATTTTTGTGGCTAGCAGGAATAATTGATTATTGAAAGTCTTCACACACCGTCATGCAAAGTGGGTATACCTCTAGAAAGCAAATCTCTAAAAGGCAAACATGTAATCTATGCCTTACCATCAGGTAAGGATCCAATGTCAAATATCCTTGGATACAATCGAAATGTATGGAATTATGAAGAGCTAGATAAAATTCATTTTAGAAGAAAATCAATGGACTGAGTGAATGGATATGAAGTTGACAAGCCCTGGGCGTGACCAGTTGTATAGAAGGTCCGCGGAAGTGCCTTTAAGTTCATCATAACGTAGAATTTCGTAATTACAATATTTACAAGCTCATGAATGTACTC